AAATAAAAAAACAAAAAAACAAACAACTTATGTAAACAACTTCTGGAAACAACTTGTTGAAACTAGATATTTAAACAGCTTTTGGAAATAAATAACGGAAACAACTTTAATAAAAAAAGTTATGTAAACCTTTTTTGGAAACAATCTAAGAAAATTATATACTGAAACAATCTAAGGAAACAAATTATTGAAAATAATTTTATAAACAACATACGTAAACATCTTATGTATACAACTAATTTAAACAGCTTATGTGAACAACATATGAAAACAACCTATGGAACGACTTATGTAAACAACTTATGGAAACAAATTTTGTAACCAACTTGTGAACACAATATATGTAAACAACTTACGTAAATAATTTATGTAAACAATTTATAAAAACAACAATTGTAAAGATTTTATGAAAACAACTTATGTAGAAATATTATGTAAACATCTTACAAAAAAAACTTATAAAAACTAACATATAAAAACTTTTTGTGAAAATAATTCAGTTAACAACTTATGTAAATAACTTAATTAAACAAATTACGTAAACAACTTTAATATACAATTTATAGGAGCAGCTTATGTAAACAATCTAAGTAAACAGCTTACGAAATTATTTTACGTAAACAACATAAGTAAAAAAAAAAATGTAAACAACATAAGTAAAAAAATTTTAGAAGCAACATAAGAAGTAACTATAAAAACTATTTAACAAAACAATTTATGGTAACAACTAACGTAAAAAACTTATGCCAAAAACCTATGAAACCAACTTTTTAGAAAAACGTATGGTAACATCTTATGGAAACAACTTATAGAAACAGAATATAAAAACAACTAATGGAAACAACTTATGGAAACAAAATGTGAAACAATAATCATAAACAATTTAGGGAAACAATTTATCGACATAATCTTGGGAAACAATTTCTTGAAACAACTTATGTAAACAACTTACGTAAACAACTTATATAAACAACTTATGGAAACAACTTATGGAAAAAACATATAGAAATAACCTATGTAAGAAACTTGTGAAAACATTTTATGTACACAACTTATGTATACAGCTTATTTAAACAATTTACGTCATCAACTAATAGAAAAAACATATGGAAATAACTTACTGTAGCATCTTTGGTAAACAACTTATGGAAGCAACTTATGGAAACAACTTTGGAAAACAACAAAAGGAAAACCCTTATGAAAACAACTAATGGAAACATCTAATGGAAACATCTTATGAAAACATAATAAGGAAGCAACTTAGAGAAACAATATATGCAAACAACTTAGGAAAACAACAAAATAAAAAACAGTGTCTAAAAACATCATATTAAAATAACTTAGTTAAACAACTTTTGAAAACAACTTATATGAAAAAATTATGTAAACGACTTATTAAAACAACTAATGAAAACAACTTATGGACACAACTAAAGTAAGCAACTTATGGACACATCATATGTAAACAACTTACCTAAACAACTTATGTAAAAAACTTTTGTAAAAACTTATAAACACAATTTATAGAAACAACATGTAAAAACAACTAGAGTAAACAACTAATGTAAACAATTTGAATAAAAAAAGTTGTAAACAATCTATGTACACAACTTATGGAAGCAACTCATGGAAACAAACTTTGAAAACAAATTTCAGAAATATTTTATGGAAATAGTCTACGCAAACAGCTTATAGAACAACGTATGAAAACAAATTATGAAAACAACTTATGAAAACAATTTATTGAAACAACTTATTAAAACAGCTTATAGAAACAACTTATGTACACAACTTATAGGCACAACAACTTATTGGAAAAAAAACAAATTGTTAATAACTTTTATAACAATAATTTATAAAATCAACATATGGAAACAATGTAAAAAGCAACTTATAGAAACAACTTATGTAAACAATTTATGGAAATAACTTTTAGAAACAACTTAAATAAACAACTTATGTAAACAACTAAAGTAAAAAAATTATGTAAACAACTAATGTAAACAATTTATGGAAGGAACTTATAGAAACAGTTTTTGAAAACAACTTATAGATATAATTTATGAAAACAACCTACAGAAGCAGCTTAAAGAAACAACCTATCGAAACAACTTATGAAAACACCTTATGGAAACAACTTACGGAAACAACTTGTATTAAACAGGTTATAGAAAAAACTTATGAAACAACTTATGGTAACAACTTAAAGAAACAATTTATGGAAACAATCTATGGAAATAACTTATGTTGTTAATATATAAAAACAATCTATAAAAGCAACTTTTAAAACAACTTATGTAAACAACTTATTAAAACAAATAATGAAAAAACTAATAGAAATAAATGATGTAACCAACTTATTTAAACAATTTATGTTAACAACTTGAGTAAACAAATTATGAAAACAACTTTCGTAAACAACTTATGTAAACAACATATATAAACAACTTACGGAAACGACATATGGAAACAAGTTATGGATACAACTTAAGAAAACAAATTGGGAAAATAACATATTAAAACAAACTGAAAAAACAGTGTCGGAATCAATTTATAAAAAGATTTTATTTAAATAACTAATGATAACTACTTATATAAACATCTTATAAAAACAAAACGACTAAAACAAATCATAAAAACAACCAACAGAAACAACATATGAAAACAACTTCTGGAAACAACCTATGAAAACAATATATGGTACAAACCCATTGAAAAAGCTTATGCAACTAACTTATAGGAACAACTTATAGAAACAACTTATGGACACAACTTGTTAAAATAGCTTATGAGAACAACTTTTGGACACAACTTATAAACATATTTTATGTAAAATCCTAATAAAAAACAGGGTCTGAAGACAACTTTAGGAAACACCATATATAAACAACAAATAGAAACAACTGATGGAAACAAGTAACTAGACACAACTTGTTAAAACAGCATATGCAAAAAACTTATAAAAACATTTTATTGATACAACTTATGAAAAATACTGATACAAATACCTTAAAAACACAACTTTTTAAAACTTCTTCTGGAGACAACTTAGGGAAACAACTTATATAAACATCCTATGAACACAACATACCTAAATAACTTATAAAAAAACTTATGTAAACAACATATGTAACAACTTATGAAATCAACTGAGAGAAATAACTTATAGAAACATTTTATGTGAACAACTTACGTAAATTGCTTATGTAAACAACTTACATAAATAAATTATGTAAAAAACTTCTAGAAACAACTTATAGAAACAAGATACTAAAAAAGTTTATGGAAACAAAGAATGGAAACAACTTACAGACACAATTTATGGAAACAATTTATGTAAAGAATATCTTAAAACAATCTATGGAAAAAATATATTCAAGCAATCTATGGAAACAACTTATTGTAAAAAATTATTTAAACAACATACTTAAACAACTTATGTAAACAAGTTATTTGAACATTTTCCGTAAACAACTTATGTATGAAACTTAATTAAACAACTTATGTAAAAAACTTATGTAACCAACTTATGGAAACGACATATTGAAAAATTTTATAATAACAACTTAAGATTACAACTTCTGGAAACAAAGTATTGAAACAGAGTATCAAAACATTTTATGAAAACAAATTATAAAATAACTTTTGTAAACAACTTATGTAAAAACCTTATGTAAACAACTTATGTAAACGACTTATGTTAACAATTTTTATAATAAAACTTATGAAAACAAGTTATGTAATAACTTTAGTAAACAACTTCTTTAAATAACATATGTAAGTAACTTTTATAAAAATTTTATTTAAAGATTTTATGTAAAAAAAACTACATAAGCAACTAGTTTAAAAAAATATAAAAAACACTTATGTGAACAACTATAGGAAACAACTTATGGAAACAACCAAAGGATACAACTATTGTCAACAACTTATTAACACAACATATTCAAAAAACTTATGTTTAAAACTAAAGTTAACAAAATAAGTAAACCACTCACGTAATCAACTTATGTAAAAAAATTATGTAAATAACTTATGAAAACAACTTATAAAAACAACGTAGGGAAACAACATACGGAAACAACAAATAGAAACAAGTTGTATAAACAAATTATGTAAACAACTTATGTTAAACAACTTTGTAAAAAGTTTCTGTAAACAACATATGTAAAAAACCCATGTAAACCAATCATAAAAACAACTTATGTAAACATCCTATGAAAAAAACTTATGTAAACAACTTATGTAAAAACTAATTTAAACAAGCAATATAAAAAAATTATGTAAACAATTTATGAAAACAACTTATGAAAACTGCTAGTAAAAACAACTTATGGAAACAACATATGGAAACAACTTATGTGAACAACTTATGAACACAACATATGTAAACAACTTGTAGAAAAAACTTATGTAAACAAGTTAATCAAACAACTTATGTTAACAACTTATGTTAACAAACTATAAAAACATTTTACGTAATTAACTTATTTAAACAACATATGTAAATAACTTACGAAAACAATATAACACAAGTTATGAAAACATCAATTGGATACAAATTACAAAAACAACTTGTGTAACAATCCATACAAATAGTGTCCCAAGTTGACTTATAAAAACAACTTATGCGCTGCAATTGCAAATGTCTTTGTTTATATTGTTATTAATTTAATTTAATTTAATTTTACCACTGATGGGCCATTATAACCCCAATGACTGTTGTTCTGCTTCCGCTAGTTTTTGTTAGGCTAATAATACTTTTTTTGCGGCTAACTAGCTTAGGCTTTTTAATAAAGGCTCGGTAATGGCTAGTTACGGTTTCCCAGAACTGGTAATCCAAGAACTAAACTTTTTCTGTCTTTTATTAAATTTGCTGGTATATGCTAAACATTATTGCACCAGTATATCTTTGCTATCTGGGACTGACTTACATTTAAATACACGTGTGTACACGTCTTTTTTTGAATTTTAACTTAAAACTTATTACTTTTCTCTAGAAGTATCTTTAAATCTAAATATATTATTTATGGATGAAGAGTATGTAGAGCTATATTCTGATATTACGAACTTACCATCGTTGAATTTAAACAACCAAATTAAAGCTGTGGTAATTTTTTTTTCTTTTTTTTTTTAAAGTTTTATTTTTCACATTCCAGGGGCGCTTCTAAGGGAAGTTTGTTACCATTGGATATACTAAAAGCAGTTTAATTAAAACTTGATTACCTATAGATATTTACTAAAACTAGAATAAAGCGAAAATTAAACAAATTATGCGCGTTTCCTTTCTAAAACGGTTAATTATATGTTGATATAAATTAGAACACATAATATTAGTTCTGTTTCATAGATTTTCAATTATTTAAAAAAATAATTTTGATAGACATTAAACTAATTTTTGAGTTGAATAAATTATTTAGAAACTTGAAGTGACATACCTTCTTTTTTCCTATTATATAAAACTCTATATTTTAAAATATTTCTTTCGTCAGTTTAGAAAAAATCAAAGTGATACTTCTAGTTAGAAATATTTTTGAACCTTCCTTTTAATATCCACCTCTAATTAAGTTTTTATAAAGTTTTGTTGTTTAATTATTATCAGGAGACAAATTTAGTTATTAACAACTAGTTTACATAAAAAAACGTTAAATGACAAGTTTTATTACAGTAGACTGCGTATCAATTTACTAACAAGCATTTTGAAAATAAATAGGAAGAGAAAAAGTTTCAAATAAAAAAAACAAAACTCAGTATCCTCTTTTATATTATACCCTCTTAAGTTGTGTTTTATTAAACGCGCGTTTACAAAACATAAAATATGGCGGTCGATTAGTTCAAAATATTTCTTAAATCGCGAGTTTATATAGCATTTTAAAGAAAAAGTTAGGTCGTATGAGAAAATCATTATACTCGTTAAAGTTGGTAATAATATAAAAAGTGTATAAATTATACATTTTATTATACATTGCCAGCTGATTTTTTTAAAAAAAACATTTAATATGCAAAAATCATAAAGTCAGTAGCCATTTTAGGCGATTTTATAAGTTATTAAAATATTTATTAAATTAATATAAAATCCACTTTATCCGGTCAAAATTAAAAAAAAAAAAAATAAAGAAAAAGGGATTTCTTTTTGGACGTATCCAAACAGTTTCCTGTACACGCCCTATATTCTTTTAAGTTTATATATTTTTACGCTTATTTGTTTAGTGTTAATTTAATTGTTTTATATTTTTCATTTATACATTTTGGTTTTTGTTTATTTACGGTTTGTTTAGTTTTCCTCATATAGTATTTATTGCTTTATTAATTTTAACTTTTTTTTTTAAATAGATACGAAATCTTTATAACAAGTACAACAATAGTGTTCAATTTGATGTGAAGTTACGTTCTATGAAGTACGTTATATATAATGTTCATTAAATTAGATGGTTATTTTATTATTTATTGATTTTTTATTCAACCCAATGTAGTTGTAGTTTTGTGCATTAGTATTAAATATCTAGTGTTGCTGTATGGCGTACGCTAAGTAATACAAAGCATATTTTTTTAGTAATGAAATATAGTAATACATTCTTACACAACATAAAATTAATAAATATGTAAAGTATGTTTTCTAGGAAAGAGTTTGCAAGTATGAATAAACCATAAATGATGAACAAACGAATGATAGTTGCTAAAACTCCGTTAGTTGAATCTTTTTTGATGTCGCAAATTTGATTGTGGAATATATTTGCATGTTACTATAACAATTTTTTAAGGTTATGACTAATTACAAAAAACTTCTTATGTTTTTATGTGTAAAATTATATATTTTTTGAGCTGTATAATGCTGTCACATTTACAAATCTTGTTTAAGCCTTTATAAATCATAAACTTTATTGAACAGTAGAAAAATTATATTTGCAAACAGATTTAAATTTTTTTTGTCTGGTTTTAAAAGTATATGTAACAAGTTTATAACGACTTCATAAATGATTCAAAAAGACGTAATAAAATTAATGGTTTGTTGTATAAGCTCTTTTTTTGTTTGAACATTGTCCAGGAACAATATGAGCTTTTTTTGACGTTTGAGTTAAAAATAGTTATAATATAAATTTATAAAAACATCTCTGGCGTTAAAATTTTGTAGACTTGTAAAATTTGTAACCTCCTTATATTGAGATTGGTCAAGCTTTATATGGTCATATATATATTTTGAACTTCACATAATATTTGTATGAATTATAAAAAATTTTGATTTTTATTTTTTTTAGTTTACATTGTTAGACGTGTCACAAAATTTATAAGTCAAATATATATATATATATATATATATATATATATATATATATATATATATATATATATATATATATATATATATATATATATATATGTATATATATATATATAAAATTTAACGTTTTTACATTATGCAAAGATACAACACATTTTAATATATAATAAGTTGAATATTTAACAAGTACATTTTACATACATTTTTAATAGAATTTTAAAATATTGTCCATACAGAGAATAAATTTTTAACCTGACTCTAACACATTTAATCTCTAATCTTCTGCTACTACCAATACAGCCAATTGCAAACAACTCAATTTTTGGGTATATATTCCACGCTCACTGAACAGTACCAAACGAGATGAGCTGATTACGAGAAAAGACATCGAAGAACTAGCTGAAAAACCAGATTTACTCTTCTTTGCTGAGTCATGGTTCACCGACACCGTAAAATATTCGACTACCAGAATACCAAACACACAAAAATTGAGAAAAGGTAGGGGGGAGGTGTTGTAGCATACATAAAAAAATGATATACCAGTAGCTGAAACAGATATAGCGCAATTGAACCTTATCGGACATAGAGCAAGTATGGCGAGTTATAAAATTTGGTTAAGAATTGATTCTCCTGGGTTGCATTTATCGACCGAAAGACAAAGACAAAGTAATTCTTGAAAAAGTAATACAGACAATTGATACTGCGAACAAAGCATTTCAAAACTGGAATGCTCATCCATATTAGTCTACAGCGACTTCAACCTCAGTCACACAACATACGAAGAACTTGACTTGGGTGGAGCATCAGCAACCGTTGCCCAAGTGCAAAACGAGCATCAAAGTGATATGTTATTCTAACAATGTATTAACATGAACTTTTTTACACAAATGGTAACGTTCCTTTCTTACAGAAGAAAAAGAGCCAATAAGCACACTTGACTTACTTATCACGGACGAAGCAGACCGAAATATCGATCTACATAAAGGCAACTCACTAGGTTACACACCAGCAGGTGAATCATATTGCTTTATTATTGGTTCATTTGTAACAAACAACAATAGAATGACAGACAACAACAAAAAGAGGGATTTATGGACCATAGCAAAATACGATATCATTTCAGCACAAATAATAGCCATCGATTGGATAAGTATTTTTAATTCTTTTTCTGCTAACGACAACTATAAATAAAAATAGAAAAGTCAATAAAGCAATCAAAATCCACATACCCGCAGCTACGATACCTTCCAAGAGTAAAAAAGAACCATGGAACACCCCTGAAGTTGATGTAGCTGTGAAAGACAAGAAAGCACAATGGCACAAATACTTAGCAGCCAAATTTCACATTTACTTAATAACTATTTTCAGTCTGCATTTGTTGTTGAGCTTCTAGATCAAATATCAAAGCATTTACCATAACCAATTATCAACCGCAAGTCCCTCTCTGAAAGAAAAGTACCTAATTTATGGAAAC